AATCAGGCCTTTTTTGTCACACGCTGTTACACTTTCTTTTCAGAACCTCTAAATAGAAAGCTTGATTAACAGTCTGGCCTGGTGGAATGAATTCTAAATGCACTACGAGTCTGTTCAGGAAGTTGACAGACATCCAGAATGAGATTTGTTATCAATCGACATTTTACCTTTTTTGAAAGGAGAAAACCACTTGTACACTTGAGGTTTTTCCCATAGCACTGTCCTTGTAAACTTTGTTCAGCATCACAACAGTTTCTGTGGCATTTTTTCCCAGCAAGAGACAAAATTTCACAGCCGCACGCTGTTCTCTTAAATCGGCCATCACAAAAAAATGAGGTTGGAGTGAAACTGCTTTCATGAAAAAATGTACTGTGACCAGAGAGAACCTTCCCAGGCAATGCCACTGGGTGCACTAACTCAGAGCGAGTTGCTTGATACTCGGTAATGGGGAAAATGTGTATTATGAAAGCGCCACCCAGTGGAGCTTTTCTCTGGCTTTTTTTGGGTACCCCCTTGTAGGCCTGTGCTCCACAGGGTCTCCAATGGTTGGTGCTTCAAAGGTAGATCCCAAGCCTCTCCTCACCCCCAAACCCAAACCCAAACCTACTGGCATTGAATCCCTGTAGGAATTCAAAACCCACTCTTGTGGGTTTCCAAAGCCATTATGAGAGCAGAAACTTTACATGAACAGAGAGCCTCATCTTTCTTCCATAGAGCAGACTGTGGCATCGAACTGCTGCCCTTGCAATTAACAGCCCAGTTCAAAACCAACCAGGCCACCAGTATGCCTGTCTTAGCACCCAGAAATCCCAAGTAAAGTCTAGAGTTTGTTTCCCGAGGAATGTGCTAACATAGGTTTCTTCATTGTAACAAATGTACCATGGTAATGTCAGATGTTAACATGAAGCAAAACTAGGTGAAAGGTATACAGGAACCCTCCCTATTCCCTTTCCATAAGCCTAAAATTATCCCCACTTTAAAGGTTCAGTTAAAAATGAATCACTTTTAATAATCAGAAATAAGCTTTTTTAATTTTCATCAATACACAAGAAAACTCTCATTCCCAACTCTACCCCTAACTCCACCCTTCAGCTAGCTAAAGGGGAAAGGTTCGGTGTCAAGTACACAGAGAAATTACTATCAAGGACAGGAATCTCTCTAATCCAAATATAATCAGTGATCCCTATGAAAAATGCTTCCCAAGATGGAGAAGGCTCCAGATTACCCCATGTAGAGATTTAAAGGTTGAGGAGAGAAAGAGATGGTACTCTAGGGGAGTGGTTCTCACAGTACTGTCCCCTGGCCCGCAGCCTGGGCATCATCAGGGGACTTGTTAGAAATGCATGTGCTCAGGTCCTGGCCCCAGGCTTGCCGCATCATAAACCCTTCAGGTGTGACTGTCAGTCTGTGTTTCTACAAGCTCTCTGGGGGACTGATCAGGTGAACATTCGATTCTCGATTCTTGGGTCAGTGGGAGGCAAACTCTGACCTATATCTCGATTACCTGCCTGTTTCTGCACCGTCTGTATGCTAAGAATGGTTTTCACATTTCCAAAACATTGGGGGGTGGGGGGCGGGAAACAGTGCTATTTTAAGACATGTGGAAATGACATCAAATCCAAATTTCAGTGTCCCATACATAAAATGCTTTGGAACATAATCAGGCCCGTGGGCTTATGCCCCTCCTGAAGCTGCCTTTGAACCTTAGTAACAAGAGTTGAGTGCTGCAGCTGCCACAGAGACCCTTGAGCCCTGAGGCCTAAGCTATTTAGTCGGACTCTGGACAGAAACCGTTGGCCAACCCACACTAGGTTAATGAAGGGCATTTAAATACTCCCAGGGTAGATTTGACAAGGATAATAGCAATGCCGTATTTAGGACAGACTTTAGGCAAAATGATTATTCCTTTTTTTAGCTGAAGTTACAAATCACTGA